GAGAGAGAGAGAGAGAGAGAGAGAGAGAGAGAGAAACATAATAATATTATTGGACATAGTGACGAAAAGCAAGAACAAAAACTTACTAAATCGATACCCGCCCCCACCCCCCAATAAAAAAACAACAACAACAACACACAAACAAAAACAAACAAAACTTACGTGTAACCCGGGGGTCCAAATGAGACGGTGTTGGTCACTTCCACAGGCCCCCCGTCTCCGAAGTCCACCTCTATGGTTGGATCTGTCGGGAATGCACCGGTTGAGGAGACAAACTCAAAGCCCAGGTAAGCTGGAGGGTTGTACAGGTAATACGCCTCAGCGGGTAAATTCCAGTCGATGAGACTGAAGCCCACTTTGACTAGCACATCAACGGTCCGGATGAAAGTTCCTGAGAACAAATTATAGGCCCATCAATAATTAATACAATAAAGTATCTATCTATCTATCTATCTATCTATCTATCTATCTATCTATCTATCTATCTATCTATCTATCTATCTATCTATCTATCTGTAGATAGTACATAGGTAATCCGAACAATCTACATTTAATCAATTGACAGAGAGAACAGTTAGTAACATAATTTATCAGTCTGTCTACCTGTTCACTAAATGAATTTTGGGATAAATCATAATGAAATTAAAAATGAAGCCTACTTAAAATGTACATTCGGTACAAAAATAAAACGAAATAAATAATTTTAGATTTTTATTGATCCTTGAGTAGATTTGGTTTACAATAGCGTTCATACTCAGATACACAAACTACTGACAAACATTAACAAATAATTATTATTTGTACCTAGGATAATACACCAGTGTTACAATACCTCAATATCACACTAAGGCTGGTTTATAGTGGGACGGTGTCTCAGCGCCTTGTAGCTGTAGCTAGAGTGCGTTCAAAATTCGTGGCGCAACTTATCCGCAAATATCTCTTTAGCAGGTAAATCAATGTCGTCAATACTTTGCAAAGCAGTTTGCATCAATTTGTCTTAATTTAATAATATTTTTTCACAACATTCGAGTCTTGACTAAAACTCTTTTCTTCAGAAATGTATATTATTTAATATAAAAAATCTCCGTCTTGTGGAAAATGAAATTGTTCACAGCACTTCCCACTCCTCACATACATTTTGTTTACTCATAAGGCCAACTTACAGTTAACCAATGACACTTTTTAGTGGCAAAATTTGTTACAATAAACAAACTTCATTGTGAACACATTTTTTGCACTAAAGGTTCTCAAATTATGCGTTCAATGTCATGACAACAGCAAAAAAATGACGGACTTGTTTTAATAGCGATATTGCCCCAGCTGTAAACTTTTTAAAAATCTGTAAAAACCACCTGCTTGGATTTTTTTATTTGTATTTTTTAAAGAATTTTCTAGAATACAGCTAAAATGTGTTTACAAAAATATTGATCTGTTAAGACAAATCGCTACAAGACATTGTGCAAAAGCTGGAGAGGCAAGGTTTGATAGTTTAGGAAATATTTGACAATAATTTGCGCCACGAATTTTTTACCACACTATAGAATTTCACATGAGTTGACTATTGGTATTGGCATATATAAGGGAAGACGCTGTAGTATTGATGGTGAAACTGTCCAGACTCGGCCCGTGGCACACAGACGCTTGGATGATGTCGTTTTTAACTTCTTTACGCCGCAAATGTGTGGCATAGAGTAACAGCGGACGAGACAACGGGGCATCTTTGAAGACGATTTCCCAATTACAGATTGCGTCTTTTTAGTAACCGTCTTTTCGGCCCTTGTAACACAATTTGTTCATAGAAGTACCGACGAGTTGAAGTCTCACGAGGTGTTACAGCTGAGTAATAAACGCAAATAGAAAGAGGTGGGATAAGGACGATATATATTTGATAGTAAAGAAGGAACAAACTACATCAGAGCGCCCGCTAGCCACCCGCAAACACAGTTTTAGCATAGGCTTACATCAAAATGTTTTTATTTTAAATCAACACATCAAAGCTTCATATCATACGCGCTTGGAATCCCCCAAATATGCAAATATAAAGAGATTTGTTTTCCGGAAAATGATTAAATTCGTTGACAGCTTGAAGGTACAAAAGGGAAAGAAACAAAGTGAGACGCCTTGAAACTGTGATGATTTGAGAACGCGTCTGCTTTATTAAGAAACGCCTCCATTCACAAGTAGATATCAATTCCAGTTCAAGGTAGATTGTCCATCTCTCTCGACTGTTCTTGGAGATCACCATTGCTCCAATAACTCATTGGAAGTGTTTTCCTTCATTTTAGAATATTTTTCATCGTTCACTTACAGATGGGGGCACTATGTGGTGGCATTCATCATGAGATGTTTTCCTCAAATTAACTGGGTGCAAAGACATACTTCTATTCTTTTTTTACTCCTTTTCTGCGTCCACAATTGCCAAGGAATCTTCAGGTGTTTTTTTTAAATTAAATGTCTTTTTGTTTCCTAAATATGTACTGCACCGTTCCACTATAACTCTAGCCGATAGCCTAATACAGACAGTAAACATGATATTGCTAGTCGCCACTGTGTTGCGCCCTTGCTTTATGCGTCAGAAAAGTAGTGTCAGAGAAACCATTACCTGAAGAAAAATGAATACCATAAAGCCATCTTTTTGGGGGGCTCCAGTGGCTAAGTGAGTAGTGAGTTTTGACTCAAGCAATGTCAAGCAAGTGTCGGTGACACGGGGATCAGATGGGTGGTCACTGGAGTGTGTCCTTGAGCAAGACACGACAACCCTAGCTCAAATTACAGGGCGCTGCACAGTGGCGACCGACAGTGGCATTGTTTGTAAACTGTTCTGTATTTGTGTAATAGTGTGTATTTATGTGTGTATTTATGCATGTATGTATGTATGTATGTATGTACGTATTTAAAATTATGTATTTATGTATGTATGTATGTTTGCCATTGTAAAACAAAGTGCCCTTCTGGGACAAATAAAAGTGTAATTTATATATATTTATTTATATATATATATACATATATATATATATATATATATATATATATATATATATAATTTATATAATATAATAGTAATATCCATTAACCTGCGCTGTTTGATATTGTAGCGGTGACAGTGCAGGTACATCCATTGATGAAGTCATGGGTGAAGGTCCACGCGCCTTGCCAGGTATCACCCGGGGTTGCAGGGGAAAAATTTTCATTTGAACTTCCGTCCTGGTGATATTAATGATAACAAGGAAGCGATTTATAAATAACGAACGATAACAATGAAGCTATTTCTTATGTCATGTTAACGCTAAGTCATAATCGTCTCAGTTGACAAAAATTGTGTGCGAGGTATAACGATGTGCGTAGGCCTATACTCGTGCAACAAGAAAAAGAGAAGAAGAATTTAAGTTGAGAGAGAAAGAGAGAGTGAGAGAGAGATGGAGAGAGAGAGAGATCAAGAGAGAGAGAGAGAGAGAGAGAGAGAGAGAGAGAGAGAGAGAGAGAGAGAGAAAGAGAGAGAATATACGTGTGTACAAAGTTGCAACCTTTAAGATTAAAACCCAGACTTGATGCCCTCAGACATAAGTATACCAGATCTTCTAAAAGAAGGTGTTGGTCTCTTGGGGATAATGATTAAGAGGATGGTGATGATAACGATGACGATGAGATTTTATTTTCTATGATAATGTACCTGAAACACTACTACAACAGAGACATCAGAACCGCTATCCATGTCCACTGTGAAGGTCACAGTATCGTCTGTGGTGACATCATCTAGATCAGAGACCATTGTTGGGTTAACGATGGGATTCGTTACGATGAATATTCCAGAGTCGACGACACTGTTGAGCTGATTAGATGCCTGTAGAATCCATTGAGAGTACATGTTGAAATATCAGCTTGAGGGTGTCTACAAGAAGGATTGTCAGGCACGGATCACAGAGTATTAACTCTTTAAAAACGAATGGGACATATATGTCCGATCAGAAGCAGGTCTAAGGCAATGATGTGGGATAGTTGGAAACATAACACATTAACAAAATAGGAATTTTCGTATTTTATGGTATACATATTACTGATTGCCTTTTACAGTTTCTTGTAAATAAAATAAAATTGAAACATCCTTGAATAAAAAAGTTATACTGCGAAACAGCTCGACTTGAAGAGTTGTAGAATTAACAGAGCACGAGTCCCAAAAGAGTTATGAGGGGGCTCTCGTTATCTAAATGTACGGCGGTCGCCTCTAATTCAGTAGGTCACGGGTTCGAAACCTGACACGACAAATTTTCTCCTCTAAAATATTCTTTTAACCCTTCTTTCTTACCCTATATTCATTTTCTGTTATCTGCTTTCCTCTCCATTTGCCCCCCCCCCCCCCCCCGCACACCTCCTCTGGGCTTCTGACTCTTTCTACTGCTACTACTGGCTCCATCACTGTCTTTCAACCAATCCCCTGATTATGGGTAGGTAAGATGAAACATCTGACATTCATGGATTAGGCCTAAATAAACTCTGAGGTTCCGTGTGCAAGTAGGGCACCTAAAAGATCCCCTTGTGGTCCTAAAATCGATAAAAGTAGGCTTTGCCCGCCACCTATTCAAAATTAATCTCTACCAAAACGAAAAATGCTTCATGTGAAAACAGTCAGTTTTGTCCCACTCGCTCATATGAACTTATGCAGTGGCAGTATTGTAAAACTCTTACCAAACACAAAAAGAAGAGCTTAGAAGCAGAAAAAATAATCCGCGGGAAGAGAGAAAATGAGCTGTGCTGTGCTGTGCTTGTTAAGTGAATTTTTTAATATGTATACTTTTGTGGTTTTTAAGATACAGGGAGTACCATTTAAAAAGTAGTTAGTATATAATACGGAATATGAATACGCATCAAGAGGACATTGTACGTTTAATATTGGGTGCTTATGTAACTGACTTTATGCAAACATCTCAAGGAATATAATGTTGAAATGTCTAAAATTAATATAATATATTATAATATATATATTATATACAACGTGTGTATATATATGTATATGCATATATATATATATATATATATATACATGTATGTGCGGGTGTATGTGTGTGTGGTTGTGTGTGTGTGTGTGTATGTGTGTGTGTGTGTGTTTGTGCATGTGTGTGTGTATGTGTGTGTTCATGTACTTGACGAAATTGCACTCTCTAATAATTGATTTCTTATCGGTTCGAATTAAACTTAAGCCCACAGCGTTCCTGTTAGACCATAACATGGGAATAAAATGATAATCATACGCACATTTCTATTATTACTAAATGACTTACGAAATCAATTAACAAAGTACGCAATACTGCTGCTTATCAACATTTGTAATATCAGCTGCTACCTTTATGTCTGCTACTCTTTCTCTTAAATGAGGATAAACACTTTTCAGCATTGATTACAATGACTACATCCATGAGGATGATTATGGTATGATGACATCACCATGGTGATGAGCAAAGCAGTATAAAACAGCCTCCCCCCTCCCCCCTGAGATTCAAGCCAGCCCATGTCCCCACGGCTTACTCTCAAAAATAGAAAAAAACAGCAAATCAACGTCTATTTTAACTCACGTCCACCCTACTTCCCCTTACACACATACAGAAAACAATTTTTTTAATGACGACCCCCCCCCCTCAACCCTACCCTTAAAAAACAACAACAGGCAAACTCACATTTAAATGATAGGGGTACCCTCCCGCTGGCAGTCCGCTCAGAACCACCGACTGCCATCTGTATGTGAGAGGGTCAGAGGTGGCCAAATCCACAGTGACGTCATTCCCATCAAACGTCAGAGAGAAGGCAACATTGGACCCTCCGTCAATTTGCCATTTGACCCGGAAGACTTCTCCAGTCGGCGCTCCGGACTGCTCAAGTCTGAGGTTAACAATACGCTCCTCTATGTACACAGTGAAACTGGAAGCGTTGTAGCTGATCTGGTGGGCCAAAGTAAGATATTTTTTCAATGGTCGGTTAACCCTTTAGACACTGAGCTCCAGGGTCTTAAATGGGCTCTTGGGTAATTTCATTACATTTTTATGTCTGCTTTTCTACAGTTCATTTTCGTGTTGATTTTTTATATTTCTTTCAATTTCTTTGATTGTAGTATTACTATGCTGGTGTGTATAGGTGCTGTTTCGTATTTGTGTTCTATTTCTGTAGACGTATATCATATTTTGGTTGGTGTGTCATATCACGATTTCGGTATCCCAGGATATTCGCCGCTTTGCGTTCATTCCAATATTTTGTTACAGAGGTTCAAAGGGTTAAATAACGTATCCGACTACCCATAGGTTTTGTTTAGGCAGATAGGTACACCGCTTTCAGAATGGAGGGCAATGCTTTCTGTGGTGAGATGCGACGTTTTTGTGATTGTTTTAAGCTACTTGTTATTATTTTCCTTTACTTTACTCTTTGTACCATGCTAGTAAGTCTATAACTTCTTTTCCTCTTTGGATGCTAAAGGCCATTATCACGTCACGAAGGCCGAACTATTATTGTTATAATATTATGCGAAAGTGAAACATTTGTTTTCTTTTGGTCAGATCATAGGGGTTGAAAAATGAAGGCTTTTGTGACAAAAAAGGCCATCTCCAATATCCAAACCTCAGGGGAGAAAAAGGGGCGATGGGGTCATTTAGATCCCAAGCAGAATATTTAACCACTGTTGCATTAGATATTTAGTCATAAGAATGCTTTTAAATGCTCCCACTAAAACTTTTTTTCCTATTTTACTCACAATACATTTCAATATCAGCTCTTTCTAAAATTTTCAGCTTTTGAATCCAACACTTTTTGTTACTAAGCCTGTCAAAAGTTCCACTCGTCTTGCTCGCATGATCGGTCTGGGTATTAAACATACAAATGTACTCATTATCGGCAGTCAAAAGGAATCAAGTAATAACCTCTGCCAGCATTCTTTGTCTTTTTATTCCTCCCCATATTATTAATGTGTTGATATAGAACATAAAAAGCTCCGATATCAAGAACTAACTCTTTGTAAGCTATTTTTCTCTTATATTCGATTATTATGCTCTATCAATCATTACAACAACGACGACGACAACTATGATAATGATGACCATGCTGATGATAAGAGATACACACGTGATATATCTTTGTTCAACATTTCTAAAGTGTAAAAGTCCCAATAATACTAAGGCAAAATGAATGTCACAGCCTTTTTCAGGCGCTTGAATGACTCATCAGTATCGATAGAGCCAGAGACAAAATCTCTGACGGACTAAATTATTGTTACCATATAGGAACAATACCCCCCCCCCCTTTTTCCTTCCTCTCTCCTCCAAAACGTCTCAGTCCGCGAAAATCTCTTATCTCAACTTATTTCAAAGAAAAACTAATAAGCATAGTAGCTTTACCCCTTAACAAACTTGAACGGCATACATTTCTTATATCTTCAGCAAAGTGGGACAGGTTCAAAACAGTACAGACTCCTCCCCCCTCCCCTACCCTTTTTCCCTTTTCAAGAAAGAAAGAAAAGCACGAATATAATATGCAGATGACATTGCAATTAGCTAAGTCAATGTTAGTTCTTGAAAATGTTGCTTCAAAGCAACAATTTAAGCAAACATAAAAACCTCACTTCTTTGGGCGCAAAATTAAAATATTTCCCCTTCCCTACTTTCCCCTGCCATCATGTCCCTCACCCCCCCCTCCCCCGCTTTTCCTCTCCAAACAAGCGTAAAAAATAAGTGAACTACTAAACTGAAATGTGATGATAAGCGCTATCTAATCCTGGATTCTACTCGTTAGTCTATCTACGTTGTTTTCAATACTCACTGTTTCGAGCGGGAAACGATGTGTGTGGGTCTTACAGGTCCGGAGCTCCATCCACTCCGTCGACCCACAAGTAGCGTCCCAGCCTGCTGGGCCTAGATTTAAGTCGTGGCTCGGAAGGCCGGTTCAACCTTTGCGTCTGTTTATATGCCCCCGTGCTCCCTTATTCTCCTACATTCATTAGGCTACACTGAGTTTGTTCACTTATTTTACGTGATTCTGGCTCGTCTAGTAATCACAGCGAATTATAGATCACACGCCCCCTTGATCGCATTGATCAATACAATAAAAACCAACACCACACATAAAGAGAATAGACGAGTCACCCCAGTTTAACCCATCTTGATAAAACTAAACACAAAACAGGGGGAGGATATTCAAGAAAGTACTGACGTCTCGTCCCTAACCAAGCTCTCATCATCCCCCCCCCCCCATTCCCCCTCCGCGTTACGGTTATCCCAGGACATAATCGTCTTTCCACAACGGGACCCTCCTTGTCCGTTGTTAGAAACGCCTGTCAATCTCTCGGCGCTCTTCTGGTTCACCACCCCGTTCACCTTCGTTTGAAGCGTCATCTTCCGTTTCTGCGGTTCCCCCCTCACCCCTGATAGGTCTAAGACATGCCGCGGCATATGACCAACCTCTACGTTGTTCGCGGAGTTCACCTTCGTGACAACCCCGCGGCCCCACTCCGATGTGCATTTTGCATTTCCCGGCTTGATCCAAACTTCCTCACCAACACTAAACGAGGCCGTTGGGACTGAGTTTCCACACTCTGGTTCTGCGGGTGCCTCATCAGGCTGCCTCCACTCATATGTCACAACCGACTTGTGCGGAATCGAGTCTTCGTTCTGCTCACGCTTGGGAGAGCAATTATAGTAATACACTGCTTCCAATGGTGAGATGTTCACCCTCTCTGCCATAGCCTTGATAGTGCGATGATTTCGCTCGACTATCCCGTTTCCACTAGGCTTTCGCTCGACTATCCCGTTTCCACTACGCCTATACGCTGCCCTGAACATTGCGTTCACGTTCGAGTCCCGCAAGAACCCCACGCATTGCTCTGACTGTGGCATTATCGAGTAGAACCTCCCCCACCGGCAGCCTCTCGTGGAACACTTGGCTCAACTCGTCAATGATATGTTGAGCAGTTTCACCTCTAAACCGTCGCCAGATCACAAATCGACAAGGTCCACAATCCACCAAGGTCAGGCATGGGACACCAGTGTAGTGCGTAATGTCAATTGCCAGCCGCTCCCAGATCCCGCTAACCCCCAATTCCCCAACATCGTGGACTCCAGGAGCCGGGTCTATCTTACTACACCTCTTGCAGTTCTGCACCACCCCCTTCACCTGCTCCTTGGTGATCTGCGGATCCACCTTCTTTGCCAGGTACCATGACCTCTCGACTCCCATGTGGTGTTTATCGTGCAGTTGCTTCACTACGGACGCTGAGACACATGCGACCAAACCGTTGCACTCGTTACAAGTCCTTATCCATGACCTTGGGACTCTGGTCAATTTATCGGCCTTGTTGTTCGTCGATGCCACAAGCCTAACGTCCATTGCAAGTCCTAGCTCCTCAACCAAGTCCTTCAGCATCGTCAACCACCGTTAGATCAAGATCTCTGCAGCACCTCTCGTCTTGATCCTCCTTTCCTCCGACAGCGTCACCTTGATCCACCTGCATACGGTTGCCGAGTCTGCCAGAACCATCATCCTCTGCAGCCCCCACTGGACCCCCAAATTGATCCCCTTTAGCACTGCCTCTAGCTCGGCCACGTTAATGTGATGAAAATCCCCACTTTTGCGCATCCAAGCCCCATCCTTCACCTGCACGTCGCCAATTTCTACTATCACTCCCATCGCAATTTCGCTTGCATCGCACCACACGACACCCTCTTTGGATCGGTCCACTTTCCACTTTCCTCCCACTGGGTCGTGCTGTGCCACTTGCTTCACAATGTCCTCCATCACTGACTGCCCCCTGTCCCCAACATAGTCGTCCCAACCGGTTCCCTCGACCTGATGCTTCACAAAGCTGCAAGCCAGGCGTAGCCATCCGGCTACTGGGTAGTGCCCCACCAACTTCCCACAAACAGTTCCCGTTTACTCTGACCACCTTTGGTACCTCTGCGTTCCGCCCGAATACCAGTGACCCGTTCTCGTCCCTCGTCAACTTCAACCCGAGTACCGATCCACCCTCCAATGGTACTGTGGGTTTAGCTTCCGGCCCATAATATGACCTCAAGTGTGAAATCACATACTCAGCGTTCACCATTGACACGTCCACCAGTATATCGTCGATATACGAGCTTGTGGCCTTTTTGATCTCCTGGGACTGGCTAAGCACTGTTATCAGCACCTTTGTCATGATACAAGGTGCAGAGTTCAATCCAAACCCCAACCTCGTCAAACAGTAGGTTCGGCCCTTGAATCGCACCAGTTGAAATTTCCAAAGCTCTGGGCTCACCCACATTTGCAGGTAGACTGCCTTCCAATCCACGATTTGAGTCTCTCCACTAACCCTTCTCCACTCACGAAAAGTGTCCGCACAGACATGGAATAGCTCGTCCCCCGTGTGGCATTCCACCAGTTCGTTGAGTTCCCGAAAGTCTAACACTGGCCTGACCTTGTTTTTCGTGGGTTGTTCCACCGCCAAAAGTGGGATAATTCCCCCTGCATCTCCTTCCCAAGGAACGAGGATCCCCTCCTTAATCCACTGCTCAACTTCATGTTCAAATTTCTCCAGGTTTGCCCCGTCTAAGCCCCTGTCATAGAGTGCGACTCTATTTTTCAAGTTCGGTGTCTCCTGGCCTGCCCCTTTCCAGAAGTACCTGACCGTCCATACTTTACCATCAAACTTTGCATCGAAATCCTTATCATGAATGACCAGTTCTTCTCTTTGACATGTTTGTTCCCCTGCTGGCACCCCTGCAACCAAACACACCACCCGTTTTCCAGATTGGATCTTGTGTTGCCCCACCGTCACCCCTCCTAGCTGTCTGATTATATCCATGCCAATCAGCACATCTATGCCCCCGACTATGTGATCTATCACAGTTGCCCTCGTACTGACTTTTTCGCCATCTACCTCCAACTCAATCTGCGCCATCCCCTTGCATTCTTCCATCAAAAGCCGATGCTTGCACCGCATCTCTGGTCCATCTGTCAACCAAACCAGCCCTAATCATGGTGTTCGAACACCCTGTGTCGATCAATGCACGTCGACTGTGACCTTGCACGGTGACTGTAATCATTGGGACCCCTTTTACTCCTGTATCGCACACTGCGTCACTCCCAGGCCTCGTGCTTCCTTCCCCACGACTGCCTTTACCAGCATGCTCGCAGTACGCCGCAATATGCCCTACCCCACCACACCTGTAGCACACAAGTGACTTTTTCTTGCTTAACTTCTCTGGGCACTCTCTAGCAAAATGCCCCCCTTACAAATGAAACACTTCCCCTGACTGGTGTTGTGCTGCATCATCCTCCGCCCCCCAGATTTTTTGTTTCCCCTTGCCTGATCTACCGCTGCGGCTGCAAGCCCCCCACCCACTATTGCTCCCTTGTTTGCTACCAGTACCCTAGCTCTACCAATAATGTCTGCAACTCTCATCGACTCCACTCCTACCACCTGTTGCAGTTCCAAGGCTATGCTGTCTGGAAAGCCGGTGACAAAAGCCAATTTCACCAGCTGCTCCAGCCCTTCTCCTAAAACCCTCAAGTCCTGCCTACCCTTCGCAACTAATTGGCGTATACATCCACCGGTTCCCCGGTCCACCTCGTCTTACGTAGTTTTGCGAAACCAACGAATTGTTTGTCGCGAAACGCTTCCTTCAAGTTCTTCTTGATGAGCTTAACGCTCATCTCTAGATACACAGCTAGAGCTCCCCCCTCCAGGTACAATGGGATAAAACTGGCCTCGTCTTCAATGTGGGTCAGTGTTGCCACCAACTCCGCCTTCTGCAACCAAGCCTCGACGTCCCCCTCCCCAGCAAACGGTTTGAGCACATCATACTTGATACTCGGGCCCATCGTCATTTTTAACCTGCTTGCCATTACCGCAAAACCCCCTAGATCTGGACTACAGCAACTAGAATATTAGATCTAAATCTAGGCCTAGCTTAGCCTAAGGTCTTAACGATCACGATCCCTCTTGGCCCCCACGCCACACGTCAAATGAAAGCCGAAATAGCTTGTAATGTGATGATACGTGTTATCTAATCCTAGATTCTACTCGTTAGTCAATCTACGTTGTTTTCAATACTCACTGTTTCGAACGGGAAACGATGTGTGTGGGTCTTAGAGGTCCGGAGCTCCATCCACTGCGTCGACCCACAAATAGCGTCGATCCCTGCTGGGCCTAGATTTAAGTCGTGGCTCGGAAGGCCGGCTCAACCTTCGCGTCTGTTTATATACCCCCCGTGCTCCCTTATTCTCCTTCACTCACTAGGCTACTCTGAGTTTGTTCACTTATTTCACGTGATGCTGGCTCGTCTAGTAATCACAGCGAATAATAGACCACATAAACAAACCAAGAAAATCCCCCAAAATACAACAAAACAATCCTTCCAGCAGCCCAATTTCAGCCAGCCTACTTGATTATTGTATTTGACAGAGCGAGACGACTAAGGTCTACCTGGTTGTTCTATTTGACAGAGACGGTCAAGGCCTACCTGATTGCTGCAGTTGACCTGGACGAGAAAGGCTCCAACCCTGATGTACGTGTGGTCCCACGTGCTGATGCCTATGGGACTGATCGCGGAGGGAGTTTCTTGGAGCATAGTGTTGTCACCAAAGTCCCACGTGCAAGTATAGTTGCTGCCCGCCCCAATGTTTAAGGTGAAGGTCACTGCAACGTTTACCTCGCTGTTCAGAGCGGTTACATCCACAGATAGTACCTGGAATACATAGGATACGCGTGTGAAAGTGAACGTCTGAGTGTGTGCGTGTGTATGTTGTGTGTATGTGTGTATGTGTGTGTGTATGTGTGTTTGTGTGTGTATGTGTGCATATTTGAAAGTGTTATACATTGATAGTTTGATGCGTATTTACGTAAAATTGAAAATGGCTATTTAAAACAGCAAACAATGTGAGCATTTCAATGCAAATCGTTCATCACTTCGATGGAAAGTAATGAAATCTCTACTAGTACTGCCCAATTCTAAAGAATTATTTAGAATTGGGTTGCTTACCAGAATAACTTCATTAGACAAGACTTTCTACACTGTAATCTACTCAGTCTTTATTAATAGCGGGTCCGAAAATAAACGGTCCTATAGAACGTAAGCTTGTAAAACGCGCGGGCCACACTAACACTAAACTCTGATGTCAAGTAGGCCTAGGGGTCGCAAAATTATAACGTCCTGCAGACCTCAGTTTGCTATAGAGAAACCCGTATACCAATCTCTTGCACACACAGGCACTAACAGTTTCTTACATCTATTTGCCAGATTATCAACAAATTCCATCCTCACAAAACATTAAACATTATAATCTAGGAATGCAGGACAAACGGTGAAATCAACAGCAAGGTTGTGTGTGTTGAAGAAAAGTGTTTGTCTTAAGTGTGAAGGGTAATGTTCTTGCGCTTAAACTTCTCTCAACCTTTTTAGTCATTTTTCTCAATCTGTAGTGTGGTAACAGTATCCGTTCAAAGCAACCCTTATACCCAGTGCACACTTCCGATTTGATGTGTCTGATTCAGTTGGGGACGGGCAGCTAGATTTTTTCCTTCATTGGTAAGGGGAGGGGGGCAAATGCTATAATTTTGGAAGAAATAAGATCGAATTCAACAAAATTCGACTGAGATCCTTCACAAAATAACAATAAAGTTTGTTCAATTTTTTTTCCGCATTGTCGAATTAGTCGTGTTTTGGCAAAATGGTAGCCCTCCCCCCCCTCCCCCAACCACCACCCATGAAAGAAAAAATATGTGTGGTCCCGACTGGATTATTAGCATCAATTGGCAATGTTCAGTGGGTATGACCTTTTCCTGAACTTTGACCGTGGTGAAGTTCTCCTTGCGGCTGAGCAGGTTGTACACCGCCACTGTGATGTTGTACTCCCCAACAGACGTGAACGTATGGGTCAGGTTGCTCATGTGGCTGCGCGGGGACCCGTCCGTCACTTCCCAGTCAAACGTCAGATTTGTACCTATGTAGGCAGATGGGAACAGACCCGGGCAAAATGAGACGAACCCAGTTATACATTGGCATTTTGAGATATTGTCTTTTGTAAACTCAATGGTGTCCATAGGGTCTTGAAACGTCTACGGTACTGTAAAAAAAACAACCTCTGCTTATAATGCGTGGGACTTGTGTCTTTGTTGTGTTTTTAGAAAGGTATATAAACACTGTTTTTTATATTTGTTTTGTAGTTTGTTTTATTATTTTGTTGTTAACATGTTTTGTTTGTTTTGTTCGTTTTTGTTGGGGTTTCTTTTTGTTTTGTTTTGTTTTGTTTTGTTTTGTTTTGTTTTTGTTTGGAAAGGGGGGGGGGATTTGGTATTGGAGGTGACTATTCCCTTGTGTTTGAAATGATGCTGATAAACATCAATGTTTATCTGAAATGATACAACTTTACTTTTTCCCCTCAATATGTCCATGTGCAACATTCCAGTTGGGCCAGCTCTTTCAGTTTGGTGAATGGATATCGAATCATCACAAGTAAAAAGAGTTTCTCTTAGAGGTACATTGGTGAATCACTGGCAGAATCCAACAATTTTATTCAAAATTTGCCTCGTTCGTTTTTCTATATTATTATTACATAACAATCCTCTGAGATGGGCCCAAGTTTAAACGTATTGCTATCAGAAAGAAGAGCTGTCTTCTGTATGGTCAACAAACGTCCTCAAAAGCAAAATCGGTACAGATCATGTTACTTCTGGTTTTGGGGGGG